AATTCCCTGACTATGGGAATTACAAAACTCAATTTAAAAACATAAAATATGACCAATCTACTATGAAATATCATGTAAACCTAATGAATCCCCAGAGTATGGAGTATTCTACTTTTGTATGTTAAGTATAGCGTCCATGTAATGCTTCATTCATGAGACTAAATGATAAAATATATATTTAATTTTAATCAGGTTGCATGGACTTGTTTTAAGAAGTTCCTTTTTATTCCAAGTCCATTTTTTTTGATTTAGGTGTTCCACTGGCCATTAATTAAAATCATGCTCATTTTTATCTGAAGTGAATGCATTAGAATTAATCTCTGGAGCAAACTAGTTGTGGTAATGCAGACTAGACAGAAGTTAATCCCTTTAGGTGTAATTTGCTTTTACTTGTCTGATGATCCCTTTGGTATTGACACATATAAATCTTTTTAATTGTTGTGACAGTTAGACATTAAACAAATAGTCTCTGTTTAATGATTCTTCTCTTACACTCTCCCTTTTCTTTCTTTCATTTTTCTTTCTTTTGTCTTTCTATTTTCTTTCTTTTTTTCCTGTCATTCTTTCCTTTCTCAAATCCTCATGCCTGTAAATAAATGTCACACCATTGTTTTTAACTTATTATTGTTTAGTTTGTTATGTTTTGTTATCTCTTAGAGCATGTTCTTTTATAAAAAGAGGAAGAAAGAAGTGGGTCCAGACATGAGGTGCAGAGGAGTTGGGAGCTGTAGAGATGGGAAAGAATAAACAGAATATATTGTGTGAGAAAAGAAATTGTTTTCAATAAATGAGGTGAATGACAAATGAGAAATAGTATACATATTTTAATGTTCATATTTCCCAGAAAATTAACACCACCAGACTGTCACACACCTCTAGACTCTTGACTTTACTACTCATATGCCTCAGTTTGCTTCTTGGCTTCCTATAGTTTCACTGTCTCTATAAAGTATGGAGTATTACAATTTGGCTACAATTTTGCTTAGTTTGGGGATTTACTATTTACATTGCATTATCCTTCGGATCCTTACTTGAAATATATCTGAACCATCAGCAGGAAGATGTGCATACCATGTATAATTGGTGTAATTTCTTATGAAGAATCAATTTCATTTTTTTTCATTTTATCAGTTCTTCAAATGTACAAAAATACCTTTAAAGAAGTGGTAAAGCCATGCTAGTACATCAGTAGTCTATAACTCTAGTATACAACACAGCAATAAACATATTAAATATGTATCAATAGCGTTGAAAGAAATTTCACTGCAATGTTATGACATTTGAAAGCTGCTGAGCCTATTACATAATGACTGTTCATGTATTTGTGTGTTTATTATTTTCCCTGAAACATCAACAAGGAGATCAGTTATGCAGTTTTTCAGTCTAAGCTGCAAGAGTTTGTAATAAGAGAAGTTAAAGGTTAAGTTATTAATTTTAGAGATTTCACATTATGTAGGCACTCAGTGATATGAATTTTTTCTTAGTACTCCCTCCATTTTATTGCATAGATGAAGATATAATGTGTTTTGTTTTCATTTATTATTATAACTTTGATTCAGGGGTGTGTTGTTTACTCTTCATATATCTGTGTACTATCTTTTTCCTCTTGTTGTTGATATCCTGCTTTAATTCATGGTCTGAAAGAATGCAAAATGCTATTTCTGTTTTTCTGTGTTTGTTGACACTTGCTTTGTGTCACAAAATGAGGTCTGCCTTGGGGATAGTTCCATGGGCTGAGAAGAAAAAAAGTATTATATTTAGTGGCTATGTATATTTTGTACATATATGTTAATTCCATTAGATGATGATGTCTTATATTTAAGATCTAAGTTTTTTTATTTTCCAAGATTATTGTCCATTGGTAAATGTGATTGTCAGAAATCACTCCCTATTACTATATTGGGGTGAATTATTGATTTTAAATTCAATAGTTTTTACTTATGAAGTTGGGTGCTACTGTGCTTTAGGGTACTATATTTTGTTGGGTTGTGTTTAAATGAAACTTAAGTGTCCCAAATTATGTCGTCTGATTAATTTGTGTTGAAGTGTGTTTTGTCAGATATCAGAACAGTGCCATTTGCTTGTTTCTTAAGTTCTTAAGAATACCTTTTTCAATCCTTTTACCCTAGGGGGGTGGTGTATCATTGATCATGAGGTGTATTTCGTGTAGACACCAAATATTCTGTGCTATTTTCTGATCATTCTGCTAAGCTGTCCCTCTTTGAGGAAGTTGATATTGCTAATATTTTTTCTCATTTTTATTTTTTTTAAAAAAACAAACTATCTTTTTTTTTCATCATAAATACCAACTCAAGTTCCCACTCCCTTCCCTCCTCCCATTCCTCCACTTACTCACTACCCCAGCCCCCATTTGCTGCTCAGAACATTGTTTTGGAGAAGGTCCAAGGTCCTCCCTACTATATCTAGCCTGAGCAAGGTATACATCCAAAGAGAACAGGTTTCCAAAAAGTCAGTACATGCAGTAGGGATGAATCCTAATGCTACTGCCATTCACCCCTCATTATGTCCCAGCCATGCAACTGTCAACCACATTAAGAAGGACTAGATTGAATTCTCAGTATTCCTCATTGTCCGCTATGTTCAGCTAGTCCGGATTTATCCCATGCTTTTTCAGACCTAGGCCAGCTGGCCTTGGTGAGGTCCCAATAGAACATCCCCATTGTCTTAGTGTGTGGGTGCACCCCTCGTGGTCCTGAGTTCCTTGCTCGTGCTCCGTCTCCTTCTACTCCTGATTTGGACCTTGAGATTTCTGTCCGGTGCTCCCCTGTGGGTCTCTGTCTCTGTCTCCTTTCATCGCCTGATGAAGGTTAATATTCCTGAGGATGCCTATGTGTGAATACTATGTGGAATACTGAGAATTCAAGAACAATTGCAGTGGGTTTTTGATCCTACTGCACGTACTGGCTTTGTGGGAGCCTAGGCAGTTTGAATGCTCACCTTACGAGACCTGGATAGAGGTGGGCAGTCCTTGGGCTTCCCACAGGTCAGGGAACCCTGATTGCTCTTCGAGCAGATGAGGGAGGGGGACTTGATCGGGGGAGGGGGAGGGAAATGGGAAGCGGTTGTGGAGACGAGGCAGAAATCCTTAATAAATAAATAAATTAAAAAAAAAAAGAAGGACTAGATTGGACCTATGCTTTTTCCCAGTCTTGTTGGAGTTGAAGAACTTCCATTAGCTTATGTAGACTGTTACAGTGGGTGTACTCATCATGGTCTTGACCTCTTTGCTCATATTCTCACTCCTTCCACTCTTCAACCGTAATTTGGGTTCAGTGTTCCAATTTAGGTCTCTGCCTCTCTTCCCGTTAGCTTCTGGATGAAGGTTCTTTGGTGATATTTACCAAATTCATCAGCCTGAATATAGGGCAAGGCCAGTTCAGGCACCCTCTCCTATATTGCTTAGACTCTTAGCTGGGGTCATCCTTGTTAATTCCAGGGAATTTCTCTAGAACCAGGTTTTTTGCTAGCCCCATAATGGCTCTCTTAATCAAGACATCTCTTTCCTTGCTCTCTTCTCTGTCCTTCCTCCATATCAACTACCTCATTTCCTCAAGTTCTCCTTCCCCCTCCCTTTTTCCCCACCTTTTCCCCTTCTATCCTCTATTCTACCTCCACCCACATGTTCCCAGTTTTGTCAGATGCTTTTGACTATTTCAACTTTCCAGGTGGATCTATGTATGTTTTTCTCAGGGTTCACCTTGTTACTTAGCTTCTCTAGGATCATGAAATATAAGCTCAATATCCTTTGCTTATAGCTAGTATCCACTTATGAGTACATACCATATTCATATCTTTGGGTCTTGATTACCTCATTGGGGATGGTGTTTTCTAGTTCCATCCATTTGCATACAAATTTCAAGATGTCATTGTTTCTTACCACTGAGTAGTACTCCAATGTGTAAATGTGCCACAAAACAAAAAACCCAGAACAACCAAAACAATCCCGTACAAAATAGAAAATTAAAAAGGCATCACTATCCCTGACATCAAGCTCTATTATAGAGCTACAGTAATGAAAACAGCTTGGTATTGGCATAAAAACAGAGACATTGACAAAGGGAATCAAATTGAAGACCCGGGTAGTAACCCACACTACTATGAACACATGATTTTTGACAAAGAAGCTAAAATTATAAAATGGATAAAAAGAAAGAATCTTCAAATGGTGCTGGCATAACTGGATGTCAACATGTAGAAGAACAAAAATAGGTCCATATCTATCCCCAAGCACAAAACTCAAGTCCAAATGGATTAAAGACCTCAATATAAATCTGATCATATGGAACCTAATACAAGAGAAAGTCAGAAGTAACATTCAATGCATGGGAACAGGAGACCACTTCCTAAGTATAACCCCAGCATCACAGACAATTAGAACAACAATAAATAAATGGGATCTCCTGAAACAGAGAAGTGTCTGTAAAGCAAAAGACCCAGTCCATAAGACAAAAAGGCAGTCTACAGAATGGGAAAAGATCTTCACCAACCCCACATCAAACAACGGACTGATCTCCAAAATATTTAAAGATCTAAAAAAAAATTGACATCAAAATTCCAAATATCACAATTTAAGAAATGGGGTACAGAATTAAACAGAGAATTTTCAACAGGAGAATTTCAAATGGCTGAAAGATATTTAAGGAAGTGTTTAACGTCCTTAGCCATCAGGGAAATGCAATTAAAAACATCTCAGGGATACAATTCCACCCATGTCAGAATGGCTAAGATAAAAAACATTAATGATAGCTTACGAATGATATGATGTGGAGTAAGGGGAGTACTCATCCATTGCTGGTGGGAATTCAAACTTGTACAATCAACCTACCTGAGTTCTTTGTTTTTTTATTAATTAAATTTCTTTTTTTATTACTTTATAAATAATACCAATCAAAATTACCACTTCCTCCCCTCCTCCCACTTTGCACCCACTCCCCCACACCCTCTCCCCCCAATTTCCTCTATCCTAAGAGAGGACTTACCTTTGGGAAGTCCAAGGCCCTCCCCCTCTACATCCATGCTTAGAAAGGTATGCATCTAAAGAGAATAGGTTCCCAGAAAGCCAGTACATGCAGTAGAGACAAATCCCAGCGCCATTATCATTGGCGCCTCAGTCTGCTCCAATTGTCAGCCACACTCAGAGGGTCCAGTTTGATTCAATACTCATTTAGTCCCAGTCCAACTTAAGTTGGTGAGCTCCTATTATCTCAGACATATTACCTCAGTGGGTGAATCAACTTCTTGTGGTCCTGACTTGCTTGCTCATATTCTCCCTTCTTCTACTCTTCAACTGGACCTTAGGAACTTAACCCAGTCGTCCAATGTGGGTCTCTATCTCTATCCCCACCTGTCGCCAGATGAAGGTTCTATGGTGATATTCAGGCTAGTCATCAGTCTGACTACGGGACAAGGCCAGTTCAGGCACCCTCTCCTCCACTGCCCAGGGTCCTATCTGGGATCATCCCTATGGACTCCTGGGAAACTCCCCAGAGCCAATCATCTTGCCAACCCCAAAATGGCTCCCTCAATTAAGATATCTCCTTCCCTGATCCCATATGCCCATTTTCTCCATCTCAACCATCCCACTTCCCCAAGCACTCCCTAATCCTCCCCTTCTTCCCTATCTCTCCCCCTCTCCCATTCCCCCACTCCCACCTGCATACTCCCAGCTTTGGTCTGGGGATTTTTATCAACTTCCAATTTTCAGAAGGATCATTATATGTTTTTCTTTGGGTTCACCTTATTACTTAGTTTCCCTAGGATCAAGAACTATAAGCTCAATGTCCTTTGTTTATGGCTAGAATCCACTAATGGGTATATACCGTATTTATATTTTTGGGTCTGGGTTATCTCACTCAGGATAGTGCTTTCTACTTCCATCCATTTGTATGCAAAATTCAAGTTGCCATTGCTTATTACAACTGAGTAGTACTCTAATGTGTATATGTGCCACTCCTTCTTTATTCATTCTTTCATTGAGGGACATCTAGGTTCTTTTTAGGTTCTGGCTATTACACATAATGCCCCTATGAACATAGTTGAACAAATGTTTTTTGTAGTATGATTGGGTATCTCTTGGGTATATTCCCAAGAGTGGTATTGCTGGATCCTGAGGAAGGTAGACTCCCAATTTTCTGAGCAACCACCACACTGATTTCCAAAGTGGTTATACAAGTTTTCATTCCCACCAGCAATGGATGATTGTTCCCCTTACTCCACCTCCTTTTCAGCATAGGCTATCATTGGTGTTTATGATTTAGCCATTCTGACAGGTGTAAGATGATATCTCAAAGTTGTTTTGATTTGTATTTCCCTGATAGCTAAGGAAGTTGAACATGTCCTTAAGTATCTTTAGGCCATCTGAACTTCTTCTGTTGAGAATTCTCTGTTCAGTTCAGTATCTCATTTTTAAATTGGGTTATTTAGAATTTTTAATGTCTAGATTCCTGAGTTCTTTATATATTTTGGAAATCAGACCTTTTTCTGATGTGGGGTTTGTGAAGATCTTCTCTCAACCAGTAGGTTGCCTTTTTGTCTTAATAACTGTGCTTTTTGCTTTACAAAAACTTCTCACTTTCAGGGTGTCCCATTTATTTATTGTTGCTCTTATCATCTGTGCTACTGAGTTTATACATAGGAAGTGGTCTCCTGTGTTGGTGCATTGCAGGCTACCTCCTAATTTCTCTTCTATTAGGTTCAGTGTGGTTGGATTTATATTGAGGTTTTTAATCTATTTGGACTTGAGTTTTATGCATGGCAATAGATATAGATCTATTTTTATTCTTCTACAGGTTGAAATCCAGTTATGCCAGCACCATTTATTAAAGATGCTTTCTTTCTTCCACTGTATAATTTTAGCTTCTTTGTCAAAAATCAGGTGTTCATAGGTATGTCGATTAATATCCGGCTCTTCAATTTGATTTCATTGGTCAATGTCTCTGTTTTTATGCCAGTACCAAGCTGTTTTCAGTACTGTAGCTCTGTAATAAAGAAGAACATTCTTACATCAAGTCCTGGAAATGATACAGAAATAAAATTGGCAAACAGCATACACACACACACAGAGAAGTATGCTCACACTCAGAGATATGCACACACAAGTGTACACAAACACACAAGTATGTGTATGCCTGTATGTATACGTGTGTCTTAAAGGGATGGTCTCCAAGATCATGAAGAAGATGTAAGCAACTAGTGAAAAGCAATGAGTGTGCATGGCACGGTAATCAATGTTCCTAAGACCTAAACTTAAGACCAATACAGGATCCCAGAATGCAATTACAAGAACATTGAACAGCTTTCATTGCCACCTCTGCCTTGGAAGGTAGGTTTCAGGCAACCTTGTCAATGCAATCTCTGTAAAACCAATATTAAGGTTTAAACCCACTCTAATTTGCATCTCCTTGGCTCCCTAATTCTGATCAGGTCTTGATGGAGGTCTGTGGTAAAGATTTCAGTTGTCAATGTTAATACAATTTGCAAATGACTAGTGTCTTATGTCATTTCTACAAATAAATGTAAGGCAAAACTAGTGCAGAAACACACATACCATATAAACAAAATATTCCAAAACCTTTGCAAAATGAAATGTTTCGTTAACAATATCAATAGTAAGATACATTACTGAGTGGTTTATGTTCTACTGTGGTGCATTACTGTACCTGGATAGCTTATAGAGATGATATATCAGGATATATCATTATTTAGCTCAAAATTATTTGTATTGAGAGTTAATATAAATTAGGCAAAGTATGATGCTTGTTAGAACACTTACCTAAGTTATTAGCCCTTGCTGTACATTCCCTGTACTCTGCTTGCCTCCTGGAAAAAAAATATTTGCAAGAATAGAATTACAGAAATAGAAACAAATCAATTCTTGGTTTAAAATTCTGAAAATTAGTTTATACTGATTATGTAAATAAATAACTGTTTTTTTGGCCTACGTTGCTTAGATACAGCAAAGAAGAAAAATCTACATTATTCTTGGTTTACTGAAAGTCTGTCTGATAATTTCCAGCCAATTGTATTCCTCTCTATGTTACTAATACTAAGGTTAACAGGTTCTTGTACTCAAAACACTTCTTATCTACACCTGTCTCTCCAACCAAATTCTGATCTCTGAGATGCCACTCAAAGTAGTTTGTATTGGAATTCATGCTATTGCAAAATCCATTTGCAATTTTAGTGAAAAAAAAATCCTAATTCAAGATATTGGCAGCTGTGAGCAAATCCCTGTAGGAACAAGTTAGCCATATCCGATAATTATCACTAGTTTGATTTCCATTTCTCAAACTTCTCCATATTTAGAATTTAGTGTTATGCATAAGTATGCATAAGAAATATGGTGTATTTATTGATACCTCTTTAAAAGTGGTGTAATTAATGAAAAATTCATCAGTCAAGTGATAGTGACTTTAAAGAATTTCTTCAATTTTCATGTATGTTATTTAACTTTCATTTATTTTTATGAGATTTCTATAACAGATTTTAATTTAAATAATGGATTAAAAATATTTATCATTAATAAATAATTAGATTTATTAATCTAATTTAATAATAACTCTTACTTTTTCATTAATTAATTAATTTTTCTGCAGCTTAACCCTAGTAGGAAACTACAAATTGTTTTGTATGTATATTTTGTCAGATAAAGTATTATTGTCTCATTTATCAAGCTACAACTCACTGGATATATTTTTTAGGACCAGTTGCCTTGGGGGATCTTTATTTAACAGTGGAGTATCTCTTAGGAAACCAAAGAGACAACTGAAAGCAAGTCAGGTAAACGGAGGCATTGAGCATTCTCTCTGTACTTCTTTGGGCAAGAGTACAGGAAGCAAGACTTAAAGCATAGACAACTAAATTCACAAATGACTAGACAATAAATTTATTGAAATAGTTTAGAATAGTTATTAATAAATAGTATTTGAAGACTATATAGTTATTATGAGATATTTGTAGAAAATTATGATTAATTAATTTAATTTCTGTAACAATTCAGGATACAGAATAGACAAGCAAATACTCATTAACTGAACCTAAAATGTCATAAATTAAATCTTTAGAGAAAGAAGACATTAATTTGAAAAAAATTATATTCTAGATAAGAAATTTGGGAAATCAGTTTATATGAAAAAGTATAATATAAGCTCTATAGAGTGCAATAATGACTTTTACTACATGTGATTAACACAGACATTCACATGAATAGTGTGACATAGTTGGTTGAGAACAAGAAACAAATGCAAGGGACTGGAGAGTTCGCTCAGTGTTGAAAAATACTAATTGTTCTTGGCAAAGGACACAAATTTGACTCGCAGATCCTACATTATTATTTACAATTTTCTTCAATTACAGTTACCAGGGATATTAAGCCCTCTTTTGACTTCTGTGGCCAACAGGCATACACATGGTACATGCAAGCAAAATGCTTATAGTAATAAAAATTATAAGATATGTAAATCTAAAAAAATGTGAATATATGCTTTTTTATTTTGTATAAATAAAAAATTATGATTTCTGTTAAGATATAAAACTTTTTTCACATTATTGTTCCAACTAAGATTATTCTTGAAGAGTGTTCACTAATGGATTTCAAACCTGGTATGCATAAGACTGGTGACAATGTAAACTCAAAATGAACAGTTGGCAAATTCAATTTTGTCCATGGGCATTGGAAAATAAACATTAAATGCTTAACCGAGATTTAGAAGGGCTTATTTGGCATCTTTTGCTTTTGGAACAATTCCAGGAGCTAAATCAACCTTTGCAGTCTGTGATACTGGGTTTCTGTTTCATGTCTGAATAAGGATGCCAATGATGGCACCCATCTCAAGTTTATTTCTCATATGTTTAAGAGAGTCAAAAATGACACATCAGAACTAACCTCTGCTCTCTTTTAGTGAAGGTTAATAAATTTCAGTTGACTATTTCGGGGTTATTTTTCATCCATAAGCACCATAATTTTGGAACTAATTTTCAATTGCAGAATGTACTAACTGTAGAGGCAATGAATATAT